CATTGTTGTTTGGCGGGCCCGGGCTGGGGATTCGAACCCGCCACCTTAGGTGTATGTGGCTGGCGCCTTAGCCACTTGAGCCACAGGCGCCGAGCCTCCTTACAGACTCTTTCCAGCACCTGGTCTCAGAGAAGCTTGGGGCCCTCTCCACTGCACAAGGTCAAATTCTTCCACGTTTCCAGTGACTCTGACCTATCTGGACAGCCCTGCACTGGGCTGCAATGAAGTAACCAAGTCTGCAATCACCTGCTTAATGTCTGTCCTGAGCAGAGAGCCCTGACGGCAGGCACTGGGTTCTTGTCCTTCAGAATCTCTGGCACAGATGATGAACATTTGTTGTTATTAAAGGATGCAGTAGCTTGAAGTTAGCAACCCTGGGACTCTGGGTTTCTAGAACCAGGTGAGGCAGTGCGTGTGAGTGTGACCAGGGCCCAGCCTGTGGGATTTGCTGCCTCGTCTTCACTGTCTCCTACCCCCAAACACACATGGGCTGGGAAACATGCTCTGTGCTGCCTCTTCCTCATCCCCAGAGCCAGCCCAACCCCTGGAAAAAAATGTCCCAGTCAGGCCCCCCGGCTTTCTTGAACATAAGCTGGCTCTCGGTGCTTAGACCATTAACCAGGTGCCTATTGTGTGATTTCCCATTGATTGCTGTTTTCCTCACAAAAGTACCTGGTATTCATTGGGGAAAATGTCTATACACAAACATACAAATAAGACTAAAGTCAGCCATAACCCTCACCCAGGGAAAACTGTGGCTTTCTGTTCTGGTGTGTGTGTGTGCCCTTCTCGTGTGGCACCGCTGTGTATAGGTAACTTGAGGGGGAAGTTACATGAGATTTGCTTGGGTATCTTGAATCACATTCAAATTCAACCCTATGGCAGGGGTACTGCTAGATCCCATTTTTCTGATGAGTAGGTGGAGGAATAGAGAGATTACATGGTTTACTCAAGGCTTGCAGCTGCCATGGACTTCCAGTCAAGATGGCTGAGCTGGCAGGTGCAGAAGCCACCACATTCCCACACGTACACAATCCAAACACTCAGAAATGCACAATCTCCTTTTTTAAGACAAGGGGAATGCAATATCCAGGCCCTTGAAATGAATGAAGCTCCTTGGAATGGTTGAATGCTGAGCTGCCCACAGAGGGACCAGGACCAGACATGTGCCCTGTGATGGCAGTCAAAGGCCCACCACCTGCACATAGCCGCGGGGTTCTGGAACTGGCCATCTACATACAGTTGGAGCCTGGAAGGAGCCACCCTTTTGTAAAATTAGAGCAAAAATTGCATGATCCAGCTTTGGGCAAAAGAGCACCATCTCTAAGAAAGTGGAACCCTGGGGCTGGAATACATGTGGGACAGAAAAGCTGAGCTGAGAATGAACATAAAATATGGTCCACAGCAGGGCATCCATAGATTTCATAGAGACAAATGCAGAGGGGCCCACACCCAGGGTATGATCGCGGCACAGGCAGGACTCTCCTGACCATAACTCTTGCTGAAGATGAACGCAGATGAAAGCCCAGAGGCAAAGATGAAGAAACTTGCCCCCTACTGGAATAGCCAACAGGTGCAGCAAACAACAAAATCACATCTGAAAAACTAGAGATGATGCAATTTGAAAAGGATATTTTTTTATTTTGCAGCTTTTGGCCAGGGCAGGGTTTGAACCCACCACCTTGGGTATAGGGGGCCGGCGCCCTACTCCTTTGAGCTACAGGTACCACCTGTAATTTGAAAAGGATTTTAAAATAAATCTTAGCGCACAGGGGCTCACGCCTATAATCCCAGCACTCTGGGAGGCTGAGGTGGGAGCATCCCTTGAGGTTGGGAGTTAGAAACCAGCCTAAGCAAGAGCGAGTCTCCATCTCTATCAAAAACAAAAAATAAGCTGGACATCATGGCAGGCAC